CAAATTGCGGCCGCGATCTATTTTGCAGTTGGAATGATTTTTTTTAAATTTATTTAGCATTTTTCCTGGAAAGATCACAACAAAATCTACGAGTACTCAAATTTTTAGGTTTTTTCACACATTCTTCTGAGGTGAAAGCTCACTGAATTTGGAGTACTTCTTTAGTTGGCCCAGCGATGGTTGAGTGGCAAAAATGGAAAATGTGCCGAATCGGCGCGGCGATAATTTCGCAGTCCAAATGATTTTTTGTAAATGTTCTATTATTATTTCTGGAAAGAACACGACCTCATCTATGGATTCTCAAAATTTCAGATTTTTGTGCATGTTCGTCCGAGCACAGAGAATCGCCGAAGTTGCCTCTTGCAAAACGCCTATTGGGCCCTTTTGCAGTTCACATGCCCGCACTTCTTTTTGGGGTCCGCTTCTACCTGGGGACCGGTCCAACGCCCCCCACTTCTTTTTGGGGTCCACTTCCACCCGAGGACCGGTCCTTCCTTTTTCCAAAAGTCCCGGTTCTAGAAGAGCTAGCTGTAGGTAGTCCGCAATTTTGCCAAGGACCGGTCCCCCAAATTTTTTTGCCCCCTAAAAACCCACTTTGCGTCCTGGTCGCCCGCTGCCAAAAATGCGACACCTTGACACAGAAGCGGAAGCACACTATACCGCAGCCTAAGGGCTGCGAATATAACCCTGCGAGGTGGCATCTAACATTGCGAAAATGGCCCCGTGCTTGCCAACTTCTCGACGGCCCGATTGCACTGTCTCAAAGTAAAGAAATCAAACCCTTTCCCTGTGCCCCTTTCACGACGGCCACTCGTCATTCCGCCCAACAATGCCCGGGGTGTGTGTATCGCACTTGACAGTCGGCTGGCAGGGCAGGGTCACAAAGATTGTTGAACACGTCGTCTTTTCTGTGACAAATGGAACGCCCGAGGGGCATTCCTGCAAAACCGACTATTTCTGGGGGGACGTTCCTCGATGATCCGTGGTCCATGGGACCAAAACGTAAAAGAAAGAACAAACAAATGAGAAACGAAAAAGAAAAGAAAAGACAAGAGAAACGCACCCGAAGGACGAAAACCACGCACTCACAGGCCTTTTGCCTGTGAGCTAAGCTGGATGATGGCTCCAGAGACCTCCGGCAATGTTGAGGATCCCCGGGGCCAAGTCCCACTACTGGTAGCATTGCTCCTGTTCCGGTAATGGGGACCTCCCTGTTATGCGACACTCCTTGCCACCGTCGATTTCCTGAGAAAATAAGGCCGCACAACGCCGCTCGCCGTCGCAATGTGCCGCGTAGTTCTGAAGACAGGAACATTGGCCCCCGCCGGCCTCTATTTCCAATTTTGAATGAAATGTGACTGGTTGTTTAAAAAAAAAAAACACGCACTCGCAAACTGACCCTCGTTTCGTTACCGACCGCCATAGATTTATTTCGGGCCAACCGTCCACCGTCCACCGCCCACGGAGCAGAGATCTGCGGCTGCCTCGTTCCGTGCCCGATTGACCGAAGCCTCGGCCTCCGCCACAGACGGCGCGCTGCCGCAGCGCAGACAAGAAAGATTCATCACGGAAATGGTTTTCCGCCTTTCTCGCCTTTCCGCTTCACACACACACTAGTTTTCTTCAACTACACGGCGCAGGCGGGACGAGGTACTCGCCGGTGGTTCGTCGAGCTGGAGAGAGGGAGCCGCGGAGCTGGGCGGACGGACGACTCGGAGTGCGCTGTCAGCGACCGCTTCCGAGCCGGCCGCGCAAACCGCGGAGCTCGTGCTCTTGTGCCTGCTGTCGGGGAATTGCGCAGTAAGATAGGCGCTCGTGCTACTGTCGGGGAATTGGCCAAGGAAAGGCGATTCCCTTGTGCCCCGGCACCCAGCTGTACGGACTGGGAGGCGGGCGGGGAAAGGAAGCGGGTACGTTTCAGGAGAGAGGCGCGGAGTCGGAGTGAACGGGGGAATCTATCTAGAAGATTGGACGCAGCCGCACTGAAGTCGTCTTGGCGGGAAGATTCGTGATTGGAAAAGAGAGGGAGCACCAGGGGAGCACCAGCTGGCCTACGTAGCTCTCAGTTGGGAAGGAGATTGCGCTGGGGGGGCTTTCAAGGCGCGAGTGAGCGCGAGGTTCTTGAGCGATGTCGCGCGCAGGGCTAATCAAATTGCGCGGTGTTGTGAGCCGGATCCTTGCCGCCGGCCCTCGCGGGGCGGCGGTTACTGTTCCTCCCCCTGTGCCGTTTTCGCAGCTTTCTGCTGCCACCGGTGTTAGCAGCCGCAGCGCCGGCGGCAGGGTGGTGAGCACATCGGCGATCGGATGCCATGCCCGCGCTTTCTCGACGGCTGGGATTGGCGGTCATTCTTTGCGGACAGGCGGATGTTGTCTCGCCGCCGTCGTTGCCGACAGCGCCGCCGCCTCTGACGTGTCAAAGCAGATAGAGAGGGAGGTGACTGGCTTGGAGAGGGAGGAACTGGAAGGGGAGGTAACAGGAAGGAAGAGGTTCGATCTTGAGCCGCCACGTGGACCTTTTGGAACGAAAGAGGCGCCGGCCATCATTGAGTCGAAGCTCGATCGGCGGATTGTTGGGTGTTCAGGAGGGGTGGGTGAGGAGGAGCACGACGTGGTGTGGTTTGAGTTGAGACAAGGCCAAAATTATGAATGCCCAGTTTGCTCTCAGGTATTTCAATTGAAGACCATTCCTGATGTGGGGGGCGGCGGTCACTAGTACTACTTGTGTGCATTCTTTTCTCCTCGAAAACTTTGCAGTGCCTGAAAGAAACAGCCGGAGAGAATGCCGCAAAGCAACGGGTCTTGAGAAGAAGCTTTCACTCGTCATCAACAAGCCACCCACCTAGCAGTCAGAAAAGCCAGCCGGTCTTAATCGAGCGATTGTAGGGTAAGGGGTGAGGAGAGGAGGCATTCGAGAGAGACGATGTATGCGTACTGTCTTCCCCGGAACAGAACGTACGGTCATTATAGCCATATTTGGATCATCTTTCTGTCCAGATGCAGCGACAATGACCGTACGTTCTGTTCCGGGGGAGGAAGAAGGTAGTCAGTAGTGTCGATGTAAGGAGGGATGCTGGGCGATTGCAAATTTTCTGGGTTGCCGGGGGGGGCGGAAGGACGGGGGGGGGGGGG